GGGGGGGCTGCACCTTGTCCTCCTCTCCCTCCCCTGCGGCTGCTGGGAGGACAAGGCCAGTGGGAAATGGGGTCGGGTGGGCAACAGGGAAGTGCCAGTGTCGGGTCCCGGCCCCACGCCAGGGTTGCCACCAGCCCACTCCTTTCTGTGACAGCCATCTGTGCCGTGCCGGCCTGGCCTCCTCCGCGTGGGCACCACTTGGAGCTTTGCCTAAGGAACAGCTCTGCGCAAGAGCACTGGAAATTGGAATTGACTCACAGGATTTTTCTTTTTTTTTTTTTCTTTCATGCTACCAGCCAGTGCAATATTTGCTTTTGGGGGCCTTTCGAAACAGAAAGCACGCTGCTAGCGTGTGAGAGAAGCCACCGTTCGGGTCCTCTATATTTAGAAAGCCAGGATGTCATACCTCCCCTTTGAAATTTTCATAGTCCCTGCACCCCACCCACCCACACACGTACACATGCTTGCGTCTGGAAAATGTTTTTCGGCCTCAGCAAAGGGTGTTGGCTTAGGGGGGATTCAAGGGAGGTGCAGAGGAACAACAGCAGCTCAGTCCCAAGCCCGAAGCCCAAAGCCTCCTTAAGGCTCGGGGCGGCGCGGCGGGGACACAGGCTCCCAGCCAGACCCGGGCAGCTGAAGTGGAGGATCTCTCTTGTTGTTGGCCTGTAACATAAATCCCAAGGCAGGGCCGAGTTTTTCTGAGACACAGGGGGAACCCTGTGCCCTGCCACATCGGGCAGCGCTGTGCCCTCAGCCCACGGTGTCTTCCTGAGCTCATCCGTCGGTGCGTGGCCACCAGCTGTGTAGCACCTGCAGCAAAGGTCCCAAGAAGATGCATTTTCATGCTAGCTTGTCTCAGGTCTCTGCAATTCCCTCCCAGGGATTTTTGCTTTCTTCTCCACTGCTGCCTCCTGCAATCACTAATCGGTAGCATTTATCCGCTGCTGGTCTGTAGTCAAATATTTTTGATTGCCCCTACAAAGACATTTTTCTTTTTGTTTTGGTACCTGGCTTCCATGCCTTTGTCCAAGCAAACACTTGAAAGACTCATCTAAACTTCAAACTTGTTGAGGGAGACTGGGAATTTTTTTTAATTTTTTTTTAAGATATGGGCAAGGCATATTTTAATTTGTTACCATAATGCTTTCCCACTCCAGAAAGCCATCTTTGCATTAGAGAGTAGCCATTAAGGCCCGCTCACAGTGACTGAGTGCAGAGAGAGTATGGAGCTGAGACCCACCAAAGGTCACAAGTGACTCCCTGCTTCACCCAGGTGCACCCAGGGATTCCTGCCTGGCACCAGCACTTGAGGACAAGCTGCTGAATGCAGAAGGGAGCCCAGCCTGAGCCAGGAGAATAATTCTGCAGGAGAATAGTCTGACTGCACGCCTCTCCTGCAGCCAGATGTATTACAAATGACAAGCGCTGGCTGACCTCAAGTTACAGGAGACACAGAGAGTGACCCTGATTAAGGCAGCCTTTGGCATTAAGAGCCCCGATTGTCCTGGAAATTAGATATTTGAGCGAGGCAGGTTTGTAACCCCATTTCACTCCCTGTGGCCATGTAAAGAGAACCGTGTTTTTAAATGGCCCAAAGCTGAGTGAAGAGGGATTGCTTCCTACTCCAGTGTGAGATTTCTCTTTCACCGAAGCTATGATAAGAGGAAGCCTTTGCCTGATCTGCCCTCCATCGGGCTGGCTGGGAGCATCACTGCTGGAGCTGGAGCCATATGCACGCAAAGGGGTGTGGAAACCACTCTCACATCTTTTTTTGGGTCATTTTCTTCCAGCCCCACAGCTGTCGGTGCTGGCACAGGGAGGGTGCTGGCAGGTGCTGGCAGGACAGCCAGATCTGTAATGCACTCACATCGACCAAGCCCTGCAGCCATCCCCCTTTATACTGACCAGACTGACCATACGCAGGGATTTGATGGGATAGTTTAGGGAACAATCGTGGTGAAAATAATAGAAAGCAGACCCTTACGCTTTCCCTTCCACCTTGTGAGACCAAGCAGGCGAGCAGCACACACGCGAGGGGAACCGAGGGGAGATGACAGAAAAGCAAAATCCTCCCAGCCTGTTTCACTGCACGAGCCTTCCAACAGCCTGCCCGGAGAAACAGTGCAGAAAATAAACCACCATAAACCAGGGACTTCAATTGCTTTGGGTTTTCACGATCCAAGGTGTTGTTAGGTCAGGAATGTGAAAAAGAATATGTTTGTATGGGGTCTTCCCTGCTGGTCCAAGTCTCCTGAACACCAGAGCACTGCACGCATGGGGACCCGGCCAGCCAGGGTTTTGGAAGTTGCCACAGGAATTAAATTTTGTAACCTCACTGGGCTGAGTGGGGTGGGGAAGGGCAGTTTAGAGGCTACATTCATATAGCCATACATATTCTGTTAAGGCTACTGCTTCCAGATTCAGCATTTTTTCTTGCCTACGAAAGGAAATGCCAGGATCTCTTCTTGCAAGAGCCTGTGCTGCTGAACTAACAGCAGCTGCATCTCCACTTTATTTCTAATAAAACTTTTCTCACTTGCTCCACCCGGGTTTCAGTGTTTCTTTTGCTTCTCCATTCTCTGAAGTGGCAGGACTTTTCCTTGTGCATCCCCCACTGGCCCTGAAAAAGTCACAGACTCTGTGGGCTGCCAGCAGCCCCAGCCTGGCTGGGGCAGAGGAGGCACCACTTGCAAACTGGCTTGAGAGACTTCTCCTGAGTTCTCCAAATGTGCTCCAGGCACTGATTGTGCTATTGTTCATAGAAAATTGTCAAAAAATTACACAGCGCCGTTGCTTGAAACTCACACAGGCTAATTGCCTGATAATAGGCAAGGAGTGGATTTCACTAGCCCAAGCGGCATTGTGTGGTGGGAACAGGCAGGCCCTGCCACCCACCAAAGTTCCTGGAAATTTCACTTGAATAGGGGAAAATTTAGGACCTGTGGGCAGCCACTGGGGACCTGGCTGTGTTTGGGAGGTGTCACACCAAGCAAGGGGGGAACTTAGAGTGCCCTTTCAGTACCTAAAGGGGGCCTACAGGAAAGATGGGGAGGGACTCTATCAGGGAGTGTAGTGATAGGACAAGGGGTAACATTTTTAAACTGAAAGTGGCTAGACTTAGATTAGATATTAGGAAGAAATTCTTTGCTGTGAAGGTGTTGAGACACTTGAACAGGCTGCCCGGAGAAGCTGTTGCTGCCCCATCCCTGGAGGGGTTCAAGGCCAGGTTGGAGGGGGCTTGGAGCAACCTGGTCTGGTGGGAGGTGTCCCTGCCCAGGGCAGGGGGTTGGAACTAGGTGATCTTTAAGGTCCCTTCTAACTCTAACCATTCTGTGATTCTATGATTCTGTGATAACAGGGGCTGCTGCCCTGGCCGCATCCTGTGAGCACTGCAGGGTCACTGGGCGCTGAGGCTGACCCACATCCCCAAGGAGGTCCCAGTTTGAAGTGGTCTGCAGACCACAACAATGTGCCATACCAACCCATGGGGGAACCACACTGTTCAGGCAAGACTGTATGTGTGCCCATGTTGGCACACATACACCTGTGGCCTTGCAGGGAGACAGATAGACTACATAATATGAAGTCTATGTGAGGACGTACATAAAACTACACCAAAACCTGCCACAGCATGACCATGGGTGAGTGCAAAAGTCATGGCAGGGCTTTACCTGAGCAGTGGTGTGTCAAAATACTAAGCCCAGTGACATGCTCCATTTAACACTCACCTTATCCTGAATTTATTGCGCTATCCCATGTTTCCAAATAGCTTTCAAGTCTTCTCTACTCCTTAAAGCAACCTGCGGGAGCTGCATCCCTTCCCTTCCCTTCCCTTCCCTTCCCTTCCCTTCCCTCTCAAGCAGGGGAAGACCCTCTGCTCCAGCCAGGGCTTTGCTCCA